CCCCCCCCCCCCCCCCCCCACCCTCTCCAACATGGATCCTAAACCCTAGCCCTAGTGCTACAGCTCTATTCTTGTCGAAGGCTCCAAAAACCCGGACCCAAAAGCCGCAAGTCCGAAAGCGTATGAACCCCCTTAAGTTATGGTTCGGCCCCAAAGCATAAACTTTCCAAATGAGGCCTAACCCCTGAATCGCACAGCTCGAAACCTAAGCCCGAAACCTTAAGCTCTAAATCCTAAACCCTGAATCCCAAAACCCTAAACCTTAAGCTCTAAACCCTAGACCCTGAATCCCAAAACCCTCAAGCTTACGCTCTAAATCAGGCCTTGCTCTACGGGGCGCCAGGAGCCAACACAATTGCACAAGGCTTCCCAGGGCCTTTTCAGGAGGCTCCCCGGCGGCAGACCTTGGGGTTTAGGGTTCAACGTTTTCGGGTTTAGGGTTTAGGGTTTAGGGTTTGGGGTTTAGGGTTTAGGGTTTAGGGTTTAGGGTTTAGGGGGCCTCGGCTGAAGAAAGGCAGAAGCGGCAATGCTGGCAGTCATCAAGTCCGCTTTCAACAGGGTTCAGGGTTTAGGATTCAGGCTTTGGGTTTAGGTTGCAAATCCAGAGGGTGCAAATACCCGAATAGGAGGGTTGTAGCTCCCAACTTCCTGTTTTTGGTACCTAAAACCCTTCTTATTTTAATGTTGGGGAAATATTTGGTGGTGTAGCTCTGCTCAAACAACCTTGAGGCTAGCGAGGGGCGACTGGAGGTTGTCATAAGGGCCGAAAACAACTCAGCATAGAGCAATGATTCGATCAGTTACAGTACTACCACGGTTTAGGGTTTAGGGTTTAGGGTTTAGCGTTCAGTACTGCAACTAGTACCGTCACAGTTACTACTAGCCATGAGGAATGGCTAGCTATGAGTAATGACTTCAACGTCCATGATTTTCATACTCATACCAGGTCGACGACAACCGGCATCAGCGAGGCTCACGATCTCGGGATAGCAGTGTCAGGAAATCTGCTTCGCCAAATCTGCCCGGACGGCAGTCTATTCGAGACGTCTCGACATCCCGAGGTGGGAGAAGTGGCTAGGGTTTCGGCTTCAGAGTATAGGGTTTAGGTGGGAGAAGTGGCTGCAGGTGTAGAGTAAGGTATGTTTGCATGGCACCACTCGCAAAGTCTGTGCCAAGGTGGCCCTTTTGCATCAAGCAGGCCTCAAACGCCGTCACGTGAGACGTGCTTGGGAGGAGGCGGTGATGAAGTCGGTAGAATGAGCTCCACAGGCACACCTCGACGAGCCAGGAGATTTCCTGACGAGCGCATCAAGAACTTGAACTACAATGGAGACCTTCGTGAACGTTTGAACCAGGGCGGATCCAGATTCGTGGCAAGCCGACCCACTACGCCTCGAGATGAATACCTGAGAGGAGGCGACTCTGATGTCGGTGTAGGCTACAAGGCCACACCTCGCTCAGTGTCGCCATCCCGAGACGGTAGCACCAAGCACATTCATTTACATGGCCATTTTCGTGACAGTTTGAATGAAGGCGGGACCTTCGTGTCAAGCAGGCCTCAGACGCCATCACGAGAGGCATATCTTGGAGGAGCGGCAGATGTCCAGGGTACACCTCGCCTTCGGGGGCATCGTGGCGGCACCTTTGCGGGAGCGCCTGTGCAAAGAGCCCAACTGCCCGGGCAGCTGCCAAGCGATGACAAGAGCGTCGAGCTGATGCGAGATTTGCTGTACACCTTCAGGTCTTTCAGATCGGGTGATCAAAGCTCAAGAAGCTCTCAACCGTCTTCGTCACCTAGGCGCCAACCTAGCCGAGACGAGGCCCCAAAGCACCCTGATGTCTACGGCCCTTTTCGTTCAAGCTTGAACGAAGGCAGCACCTTCGTGTCAAGCAGATCCCAAACGCCGTCACGGGAGGCATATTTGGGTGGAGGCGATGTTCCAGGCACGATAGACTTCAAGGATATACTTCGCCCTGACATCCATCGTGGCGGCACATTCGTGGGATCGAGTGGGCAAAGGGCCGAGCTGCAAGGATATTTGTCCGCCAGCGAGACTGAAGAAAAGCCGTTGTTCGACACACTTCGTGAAAGTATGAGGCAGGGACCTACCGTCTGGTCTAGCAGCCGATCGACGAAGCCGGACTACGCGTTTCTGCAGGCCAGCGAGGATGCGGTCCATGACTGGAAAGACGTGCTCCGCCCGGAGTTGCGCAGAGGTGGGACCTTTGTCTCTGCAAGGCACGGCAGAGAGAAATCCAGCGACTTTCTGGAGGAGTCTGGGGAAGGGCCGCTGCACTTTGAAGACACTCTGCGCCAAAACCTCCGGCAAGGAGGTACTTTTGTCTCCTCTAGATCTGACGTGATTCCCTTCGACCATTCGCGACCTTTCTTCAGAAGTCCATTGTCAGCTAGATACTTACCACGGCGAGAGTGGAACAGAGCCTTGGTTCTCCAATAACAAGCTTGTACTGATCATGTCGGGTTCCTTGTCATTCGTCTCAGATCGTCAGTGCTGACTTGATTCGGTTTCGGGTTTAGGGTTTAGGGTTTAGGATGTTCACTCTGGACGTGGTTTCACGTGCGTTTTCGGGGGTTTCAATAAGCAGCTTGGACTGGGAGAAATGCAACGCATGTTCATCAACCCTTTGCTTGTCTATCAACAATATATATATATATATATATATATATAGATATATATGTATATATATATATATACCTGCCTATGTATCTATCTATCTATCTACCTACCTACCTGTCTACCTATCTACCTATCTATCTATCTATCTATCTATCTATCTCTATCTATCTGTCTATCTATCTATCTATCTATCTATCTACGTATATATATATATATGTATACATGTATATATATATATATAGTTTGTTAACCCTAAACACATAGTTTGAGGGGTGTATGCTAGGCAAGCAGCCCAGGCCACCAGGGATCGTGGCACTTGTTGTAAAGCTGTTCCTACTTTCAGATTTTGCGTTAGGGTGTAGGGTTTATGGTTTAGGGTTTAGGGAAGGACCAAGTGGCCCTTAAGATACGTGCAGCTCTATATAATTACAACCCCTTTCTGGGACATGAACCATGAACCCATTTAGGACTCATGTGTTCCTTGCGGCGTGGTACTGGGGAGCCTACATAAACCCTAAGCCCGATAAATCCTAAAGCTTCTCGCCAGACAGACTCTAAACCCTCCAAACATCTCCATACCCTTTCAACCCTGTATAAACTCCTGAAGCCCTAGACCTAAGCCCTGAAACCCCAGACCCCAACTTTTCGAGCTCGATGCAAGCCCGAAATGGCGCAAGGTGTTTACGATTTTGGCCATCGTAGCCTCCGAGATGATATGCCACCTCGTGGCTTCTGAGCATACTTTTGGGTTCAGGGCTTAGTGGACAATCAGCAACAGTGTTTTACAGGGTTTCGGTAGGTTTTGGGTAGGGGTCAAAGCTTAGAGTGCTTGGCTTTAGGCTTTCAGGGCTTAGAGTTTGTGGTTTTAAAGTTTGCGGCTTAGGGATTCAAGGTTCGCGCTGGAGAGAAAATAGGCCAGCATGTGTGTGTGTGTGTGTGTACATATATATATATATATATATATGTCAGTCTGCCCCCTTCATATCTTGTTCAGGCCAGAACAGGTTGGTTGAGAACTGCTTACATGTTTGTTCTGCTGTTTGCATTGTTCCTGGTTGATCCTGCACGGGTGAGGCTATATGGTATGTACATGCATGCATGCATACATACATATATATATATATATACACATATATTTGTTTGTACATGCACACACACACACACATAACACTGGCGCGGAATTGCCACCAAAGGTGGCAAGCGCAGCTAGCAGAATCTTCAGTCTTGCATGCTTAGCAGCAAGGCTTCTCTGCTTCCGTTTCTTGACTAACTCAGCGCTGCCAAAGGCACAGCGGCCGCTGTCAAAATCACTGGTCCGACCCCACACCGCTGTTCTGGGACCCAAGGAGATCGAACTTGTCTCCCTCACAGCCCCCATCTTGTTAGCATAGCTACGTATTAGGGTTTAGGGTTTAGGGTTTAGGGTTTAGGGTTGCCAGCTGAGATCACCAAGCAGTGTTAAGAGCACCAAGACTAGGATGACGACCAGCTGAGACCACCGGACCGCGACGACAAAGACGACCATCAACCCTAAACCCTCTAGCCTAGACCCTACCCGGACCCCAAATAACAGACAGGTTCCTTATGATGAGTTCTTTCTTTAAGTCCTTGCGGTTAAGCTATACCCTAAATCACCACCAGGACCCACCATCCTTAGCCCAAGTGGACACAGGCCTCGCCTGGTCTGAGCCACACATGACAACTTGAAATAGGGCCCTAATATTGATTGAAAAATACCTATACTATTTTTTGGGGGGGTCCCTCTTCTACTTACAGTGTAATAAATACACCCCCCCCCCCAAAAAAAAAAAAAAACTACTCTAATTTCTTAAAGGCTCCTTGTTTTACCCGCAAACCCTGAACCCATCCTCGAACTCTTCGAGTCGGCGGATGGATTTTTGCAGTCTCACTAGAGGAACCCAGGTTTTCCACCGTGTAAACTACCCTCTTCTACTAGGTCGCTGATAGCTACCTGACACCCACTTACTGGGCTCCTCTGGGGGAAATCTTCGTAGTGAGTCTGGATGTAACTTGATGTAATCCCCACTGAAACACGGGCTTCAGATCCAATCCACTGCGCACCATGAACCTCGCCTGGCATGTCGGAGTGAGAGTGAGCACCCAAACACCCAAACCCTNNNNCCCTAAACCCTTTAACCTTAAACCCTCTGAGCCCAAAGCCCGATACCCTCTAAACCCTAAAGTTTAAGCCTCGCAGCCCTAAGCTCTAAACCCTTTCAGCCCTGAATTTAGAAGCCCTAGAAGGAACCCTTCAAGGATCTTTTTAAGGCTCCCTTAAGGGTGCAAAAAGGGTTCTATCCTGGTGTTCCCTCTAAGGTCGCTAAAGAACCCAGAGGGTGCCCGTAAAGGAAACCCTGAAAAGGAGCCCTCGAAGGAGTTAGTCCTAGACTCCCCAGACCCTAAACCCTAGGCCCCAGAAGGAACCCTTGAGGGATCCAGGAACCCCTGGAGGATTCCCCGAAAGGAAAGCCTGAAAAGGAGCCTTAAAAGGAGCCCTAGAGGGACTTTCCTAGGCACCAGAAACCTCAACCCAAACCCCTAAACCC